TTAAAGTTTTCAACAATTTTCAAAATGTATAAGAACTTTTGTTTGAATTTGATCGAATAGTTTCACAGTATTCAAGCGCCAAGTCGATACGAGACATTAAATAGGAAGAATGTATTTATAAAATCTCAATGAATAAATTTGAAGTAAATCTAATGTTTCAGCTGACAATCTTTGAAAAAGCTTGAAGCAGATTGCCAAGCAAAACGTTGAATTTACTTCAAATTCATTCGCCAATATTTTACAAAGATGTTTTTCTTCTTTTAGTTTTTAAATTACTTCTGATTAATTTCATACTAGTGAAATAAAATTTTTGTAGAATAATTTAACATTACTAATAAGTTCATAATTCACCTTTGTTATTGTAACAACAAACTCAATTAGAAAGAAAGTTGAACATTTTTGTAAGCAATGATGGATACTGGCTAGCAGTGTAATTCAGGACTCCCGTTTCGTCCTATTTGGGACTCTTCAGCCGGATGCACCTGAATCTCCGAGTTGATGTTCACTCTCGGACTCGAACCCAGTGCCAACGCCATCGCGTTATCCACTCAGCTACTGAGTCCTGATAGTCATTTGCTTGTGCAATGGGGTGAATTTAAATTCACTTGGTATTGTTTGGCTGATCAATTGCAGTCTTGAACCTCAATGGGAAGATGCAAGCCAAACAATACCAAGTGAATTTATAAAGTTGAGTAGTTTAGTTGTATAACTTATTATAATTACAATAGGACGAAACGATTGTCCAGTACTTCCAGGATCTCCATGATAATCTGGATTCAATTGACTGATGATCACAACTATTGAAATTATTATAATATTCACAAAAAGCCCTTCTCTTATCATAATTTGCTTGTTTAAAATCAGATTTCTAATAATTTCCTTATTCTAAAATATAATTTTTTAAAATCAGAAAAAAATTCTTTCTTTTTATAGAAGAAAATACTTTGAATATTATACTCGATTGAATTTTCATATTTCACTAGTACAAACAAGCATAAAGATAAATGTTAGTTATTTTCTAATCCATATTCTTATGTGTAACATACTTTTAATGGTTAGTAGGATTTCAAGAGACATTTTATTGATTTATTAAACTTTATACATGTTTCTGTTATTATTCAATTGACAAATGAATAACAAATGGATATTTCTAACTGAGCGTACATACTCAGAACTATATATATACACGACAGTATTGCCTTTAGAATGAATTCAATGAAAATAAGCCATTTTCTGGATATGTGTGCTACTGATGTCGACAGATATCAGTAGTATGTATCAGCAGTCGAAAACGAAATGCCTATTGGCAGATTATTGAGAAGATTGAAGAGAAAAGAACAAAAATAGAAAGTGATTGATATGAAAATGAAGAAACAATAAAGTCTGAGATCATTGATGGATATTTTGTAAATGAAATATTTACTGTATGGTTCTTAGATTTGATCAAGATATTCTGTAATTTATACGAATATTCGTCAATATTAAAACGAATAGTTTGATAAAAAATTGGTCACCGAATATAGAAAAGTCATTATATGTGAAAATTATATTTGAAATTATCTAAGCGATTGAAATTGAAATAATTTCATCGTTTCATCTAGCAAACTTGTCTACTCTGAAGAAGTCCAGGCAAGTTATCTAGACGAAACGTTGGAAATCAGTTCAACTATAATTCTCACATATAATATTATGTAATGTTGTATCAGTGGACAAATAATTGTTCTCTGCCTGTGTTCTTGTTCACTACAATATTACATGAATTAAAGAGTGTATTCTGACGAATTATTATTATTTTTTTGTTTTTAAAATCAATTTTAATGTTTAGGTGTATCGTTACGGATAAAGTAATTTATAGTTTTGTTTTATTCTTGTATTGTCTAATCACTTAAAAGATGTTTTATTATTAGTGAATCATTTACACTTAATTTTGATAACGATGTTGTAGAAATTACATGAAATAAGTGCAATTTTATGATGAAATTTAGGTACTGATATACATTGAACTCTTAGATAAATATGATCGTTTTGTAATTGGTAGACATTTTAATAGCAGTACAGTTTACAGTTAAGATGAATAAAGAATTTTCAAGAAAAAATTTTCGACTTTAGATCCTGATCAGGCAATGAGAGGTTACCAGCACCTATGGTTATTTGTGGTTTCCTACTCGGTAAGGGAAATATCATATAATTCCAATTCGCCCGTAATGAATACTCAGAAACTGTATAAATCCTGATATAGTTATAATCAAGTGGCAGTAAAATAAGCTTACTCCTTTCGGAAATTCAAGGGATTCTTAGTTCTAATCTACTAAAGTTAGAAAATTTGTGGATTATGCTTATATTTCAGACTGTTTTCATGTAAGCTAAAGTACTGATAATTTTTTGCAATTTTATGATTCTTTTTAGTTATGCATATTAACTGAAAAACAAGTCATCTCATTGTAAAATCTAGAAAGTTGTCTTGTAGAAGTCTTGTTTCATGTGTATTTTTACCTTTGATAAGACCCTAGAAATGGTTTATTTGTTTCCCAGGCAACTTTTGATTGATTAATTTTCTCCTTGTTTGGAATTACTTATTGGTTTGTTGGTTTAACTGTAGTTTTCAAAATGATATGAACTGCAGTGTACATTACTCTAATCTCATATTTTCCCTCCTTATTTATCAATATTTGATAAACGGTAGATCATTGATGTCGGAGCACTTAAGTATTATAAAAATATTGCAGACTAATATGCCACTGGAGTCAGATCGTTTTATTCAATCTGTAAAAGAAATAGAAATGTAAATATTTACTTGAGAATTTCAACTTAACAAAATATTATATCCTGTCGATGATAATATTCCTTTTTATATATTAGTTTATTGAAAAGAACTGTGGAATACTTCCAATTCATGATGATGACGTTGTTGATGATGATGAGAGAAATAGTTCAAATATGAAATTGTCAAGTTTGAAAAAAATGATCAGTATAAATTGGAATTCACTAATGATTAATTGGTCGCTTTGAATGATTAAACTTTATTGTTACTGTAACATCAGTGATCAACTAAAATGTTATTCGTTTTCGACAAGTTCCTAAATGTTAGTTTTATGTATTTTGAAGGTAGCAACATTGTTTAGTTCTTGACAACTTCAAAATAGAATAAATTATTTGATGTTGCTTAGATTTTGTTGTAAGAAATAGTATTCAGTCTAATAAAGTAATGAAAATATCAACCAATTGAAGTTATTTATGTATTCATAAATTCTCGGACGAACTTCTTGAAACAGTGTTTTCATTTAGAAATAACAATGGCTATAGACTGAATAAGAAATAAAATAAGATCTAACGTTTCCATATATGATTATAAGATTTCATTCGTTCTATTTCCCTAATGAAATCCACAGTGCTAATCTAGGAATTCATTCACAAATTAAAAGACACTTTACATAAAATGAATATATATATATATGTCAAATTGACTACTTGTATAAATTTTGCCAATTCGATACATCATGATATCGTACTTTTGTTGAATAACCTTACGTCTATTCAACTGCTTCAATTTATCCATAAAAATAATGTATATCTCAACCTTTTGAGTGTCATTTGTGTATTTGTATTTGTATTGAAAATGATTTTTAGTGATTTTACATCTAGCCGAACAGTCACATATTTATATTAGTTCATAAACTAATGGGAACTAGTAATAATTGAAAAGATAATACCTTCACACATATAACTACTCAAAAATGTCCATATTTTCTAACTATTTATGTTTTATGACGTGTATCAGATAAGTGATTTCTTCTATTGAATTTACAGAACTTTTCGACAGCTGCAATTTCTGAGGCCAATTAAATTTGGAGTGTAAGTGGTTGACCATTGATGATACTAAGCGATAATTATAACTTAGAGACAACTGATTAAAATCAGAATACATTACGTACTGGATTCTCATTCAAAAACCAAATAGCATTGATTTCTTTATAAGACCAATTGATCCTAGGTTTGGTTTCTTGTGGGTCACAAGATTCCCCAAGGCTCATGGCTAATATCAGTTATTCCTAAAGGAATATGTTGTTAAGATAATCCATTTTAATGAAAACAACTTCTAAATGTTTGCATTTTAACAATTAAGATTTTATTAACATTCTTTTATTTAAACTAAAAACTTACTATTCAATTGTGTAACTAACAGGATTTTGCTCATTTTTAATTACTGAGAAATTGAATTCATTAGTTCAGTGCATTCGTGGTAACATTTAATTCTGTTTTAATTAAAATAACATGAATACTAAATCCTAAATTATAAAACAGATGACCAAGGAATAACTTTCCAACAGTTATTGAATTAAAATATTAATTCCAATCATTTTCATTAAACCTCAGGGATGATATGATAGATAATCTGGTTGAACATCACTTCTTAATTTATAAAGATGAAAAAGAAAATCAGTTATCAACTAGAGAATTCTCCCAAATTAAGGATGTGATTTGAAATGAATTATAAGGTAATAATCTTCAAGAAACTTGTATATGAGATTCAAGTCCTACATCTTAGTTTTTTTAATTTCTTTAATCTTCGTTGAAAATGTTAGCACAAAATGAAAATATTAGTTTAGGGTTGTGGAGATCGCTGAGTTTAGATTGAGATCATGAATGGATCAATGCTAGTCTACCAGTGAGAACCTGGAGGCACTGGACGACTATTTCGTCCCAGTATAGGATTCCTCGACAGTGAGCATCCATGAGATTAAACGTTTGCACCCGAAACCGAAGGTCCCGAGTCCAAATCCCTCATACGGGATCATGGAGGCGCAGTACTGAGGAGTTCTATACTAGGACTAAATGGTCGTTCAATGCTTTCAGGTCTTCAGTGGTGATATGACATTGATCCATTCATGATTTCAATCAAAATGAAAATAAAAAATTACAAAATCCTTTACTATGTTTTTCTTTTCATAGTTTAAGATGATACATAACATCGCATCAGGTTGAAATTAACTCGGTCAGTAATGGATTTTGAAACCAAACCAAATCTGAATGAGAATCAGCAGCCTCAATCGGTACAATCATCATCGTCACCGAATGTAGATAATTCATCTTTAGACCATCCAAACTCTCACCCAACTGTAAATCATGTTATTCATGAAGAAAATGGAAATGATGATGAAGGGAGATATACTCATGATGAAATTCATCTAAATAATCATCACAATCATAGTAATCCGTTGACCGCTGGTAGTAAAGTTTGTGGAGCTGCATTTAATACCATGCCAATTTATGATCCACAAGGCAGCTTAGTTGGTCTACAAGCATCAACAGATAGAAATTTGTTGGAAGATTTCGATAACGAAGGAAGAAATGAACCTCTTGGGTATAGTACATATTTAGAATCTGGTTTTCATCATCATCATCTTCATAATCAGTATAATTTGGCTCTTCAACAAAATGCAAATATGGTTCCAGGTGAATATAATTTACCATATGGAGCATATGCTTTTAAATCTCAAAATCGTCATTTGTTTACACCGCTACCATGTCAACAGCAACAACAACAACAATATCACCAACCAAATTATTCTTTTCTCCATAACTATCAACAAGCACAATACCAGCAACCACAGAATCATCAACAAACTCATTACGTTCACCAGTATCAACCTCAAGCAGCTAAGACACTTCTAGTTAGGTCTGCTTCAGGCATCATTGGCATAGATCAAAATAACCATAATAATCCTGATGCGTTTAGACCATTATCTAATGAAACATTTGACAAATGTCCTATAGTTTGTAGTCTATTCGCCATATTGTGTTGTCCAATTACCATATGGTGTTCATTACCAGCTTTAGTTTATTCGCTATGTGCCTATAGTGATTATCGTGCCTCAGATATTATTCAGTATCGACGTAAGAGTGACGTCTCAAGGCATTTAGTGATTACAGCATGTATAGTTGGTTTATTATTATGTATAACATGGGCAATTTTAACATTCTTTTACTATGAATTAATGTTATCAGTATTTAATGATATTATACGTGTAATTTCTCAGAGAATACGATCCGGTATATAAAAGTATGTCAATTTAAGAAATCATAAAATAATGCAAATATTTCTCATGCTCTTTTGTTTTTCGTTTAATTTAATTCATATTTACTAAACTTTTTCAGTTTCCAAGTCGCATGAAACTAAGCTATTGTATTTCATGAAAATGTTAGTTTCCGAATATAATGATTTTAAATAAAAAATTCAAGAAAATGAATGGTCATATTTACTAAAGGCATTTCATATGTTTTTATATATTTATATAGTGAATTACGTATTTAGTCTGCAATTTAGCGCGTAACAGTTTTTCGGAAAGACGTTACAATCGAAATGAGCTGGAGCGTCACCTAAAACAGAGCATTCTTATTTGTCTTCCGACTGTTGAATAGCTCACTAACTTGTCTTCAAGCCGAAGTTCACAGTCACTGAACAAGTTTGCTCGACTTTCCATCGCCTATGAAATGAAACTATAGTTTGTGAAGCATCCATGATGCTCTGAAACGGTATTTATGTCTAATACAATAGAAGTGAAGTTACTGTCCCAAGCTGCCAACTTTGGGGAAAATTTGGTACATTTAGGGGAAATTTTGGGGAAATCCCCTAAGTGATCTGATGTTATTGGGAATACAACTGACTACTGAAGTTTAGTAAGTAGTATAAAACAATATACAAAAGAACAAATAATTTACGGTTACGTCTGATAAAGCATGCGAAGCCAGGTGAAAGGGAAACGGACAAGATAAAAGTGATATCACTTTGGGGAAGCTTTCCCAAACCTTTGGGTTTTCCTGGAAATGATAATTATCATCCTGCCAGGTTTGTGGAAATCCCCAAAGTGAACTTCAGTTATTGCAAATACAACTGACTACTGAATTCTAATAAATAGTCTAAAACAATACAGGAAAGAGTAGAAAGGGAACGAGTAGGAACAATGGAGGACAAACTGAACATATGTATTATAACAAACATTTTAAGTGGTTTTAGCCCCCCAAAGCTGGCAGCTTGGGGCACGTCATGAGTGATCAAGACTGAAATAAACTAAATTACTGTTGAGTATCACTGTTCTTAGTTTTAGACTAGTGAGGAGTAGTGGGCATTTAGTGGCCCTATATGTGACTCCTGGTAGATTGTTTCTGCTTGTTATCGAAGTATACATACTGCCAATCCTCGTATATAATCATCCACTTCAATCGAGTTGGTGAACAACGGAATTAAATTAGTCAAATCGAAAATGTATTACGAATACGCATATTTCATACAATCGTTGATCCAAACAAACGATCGAACAAATTAAACAGATCGAAGAAGTCATGTAAGTCAACTAGATTTAGCCAAGCCTGAATCGATATATGTATTCAGACAAAAATAAGGTACAGACATGTAATGAGTAGGATAAGAAGTGCACACACATACTCTTACATAAAAGCATTTACGGTTGACAAGTGAATAAGTGACAGGATATAAATGTAGCTTGAGTAGAGTGAATAGATTGATCTGTCCAGATGTTAGAATGACTTATGTAGGTTTGAAATGGCACCAGCCACTACAAGCAATCTTTACAAAAGGTCTTGAAAGTAGAATGAAACATCGTCAAATACTACTCAACTTACTATTATATTTTCACTAATATTCATTTGAGATAAAATTAACTTTGAATTCAAGTCTGTCACGTTGAATAGAAAACAAATCTTCTCGAAAACTACTTAACAGTCTTGAATCGAAATAATGTGAGGGTCCAGGAAAGATGTCACAGTTATTCGGAACGCAGGCCATTGAAGTATGATGAATATCATTTTTGTCCAAATAGGTACACATAGGTACACATCTACTTGATGACTATAAGCAGTTAGAAATTTCTATAAATCAAGGCAGGATAAACTTTCGAAGGAACATCTAACCTCATCTGCCTCTGGATTGAAATTTATAAAATGTTAAGAGACCCGTATACACCGGAGAGTAAATAATGGATGGAAAGTTTTATCAAAGATTGTCATTAGGTCAGCAACCAGGGTGAAACATATGCAAATACATATACCACTTTATTTTGAGCCTGTTAATCGATGGCGAGAAAGCCACAGTGGCAGGGGTGCGGATCAGCTAAGAGGAATTGAGTGGTTACTTCTTAGGCATACGGCTCAGATAACAACATATCGCATACACACTCTGGTAGTCACTCATTTTTATGAAGCTTGGTCAACCACTGAGCGCATAGTGGTTTCCTTGTGGTTGATAATTAACACACTGAATGATCATAGCACAGTTGACCTGTACGACAAAATTTCATCGCATGCATGCTTTATCAAAAACTGCACAACCGACCTTTTTGTCATTATCAGTAATGACAATATTACGTATAATGCTCACCATATACTCAACTTACCTCTCTGGTAAGGAACAACTGGTTCACAAAAACTCATCGTAATACACAGAGTAAAAACAGTAAATTAATGAAAACATTATCAATAAACGATTAATTTGAGAAAAAAGAGCCGACAAAAGGAATCATATCTTCAGTGGTCGTAAGTTACGTGTAAGGTATATCAGTTAACTGGCTAAATCAATTGCTATTCCGGCAGTAAAAATGGAGGAAGGGTCTATTTTGAAATTCAAATGTTACGTCTACCAGAAATCAACTATTATCTTAACCGTTTCTGCTACGTAGTTGAATGATCAACACCATTCGATCCGAAACAAGAATACGGCAGGTGTACGACACTGATATTATGGAGTTAATGGTTGTTCATTGTGGTCAACTACTGGCACAATTTCGGGGTAAGTAAGCAGTAGATGAAGAAATACTCATTACTATGCTATAGGGTTAGCCAAGTCATCCGACCGTTTGGTCACTGAATGTCGAACAGTTCACTGGTCCTCGTCAAAATAAAAAAATAATCAACGTGTGGACTGGTCCATGACGGAGAGGTCACACTCCGTTCATTGTGCTTACTCTGAATGATGTATTATGTAATAACGTCGTTTGTGTCGTACGGTCATCAAAGCAACCATAGTACCTAAATACTAGGAAAGGGTGGTCCATTTTAGATTTAAACTGTGAGGTGTGATTTCGACGTTAGCTGGTTGGTCACACCACCCACTTCTAGCTCGATTAGGCATCCAATCGTTCGACATAGATCATCTACACTGATGATCTTCGACACAATGTCAATCCTTAAGATAAAATGGATTTATGAGGCCATTTATTCAAGAGTCCTGACAAATAAGCCGAATATTATGATCATCAAGCGGCCTGCTTGAGTATCCTGACTATCTGTTTCTACAATCTAAATGTTTTAACAAGCTATGTCTTGTATTTTGTTTTAACCTATCATTATGTCTATGATCGCATAACTTATTCAAGTGCGTTTACGACCCATTGCTTTGCAAGATACAAAAAAAGTACAACCGGAGTCATCGTATGACTGGCAGTACACATTGAAAAGAATGAACACTAATCAGATTTCGACTGCTGCCGATCACCAGTTTGTAAGGTGAACTATCTTCAACAGTTATCGAGTCTAAACAAATATAGCAACTGTAATGTAGCCACAATTCAAGAATCCTGGTTAACTGATTTACAGGACGATTGCTTAGTATCACTACGCGATTTCAATATCTATAGTCAGGATCGATCAAGCAAGAAAAGGAGGTGTGACGGCAGTATAGCCACGTTTGTAAACGTGAACTGGTGTTGATCTACTTTTGAGTGTTTCAAGTTTTCAAATGACTTTATCGATTGTTTGACTTAAGGATGCTGTACAAAACAATTGAATAAATACGAATATGATTATGTTACCAACATCTACATGACTTCAAGCTGCATGTCATCTGCACTATATGTTTTCTCTGATAAATTCACTGAAATTTGTGTTACTGCCTTTAATAGTCACTTTCAGTTGTATGTGATGCCTTCAATTAAAATGACTGTAATTTTCTTTGATCACTGTGTCATCAAAATGTAATAGATTCTTCCACCAGTTTGAATGTCCATTTAGACTTTGTTTTTATAAATTATGCGGAAATATATGTGGCTCGTGGGTTATGAAGACGTCAAAATATGGGGTGAAACATGGGATATATATTGGCGGTCTAGGATGTGGCTGGACGATCTAGACTTCATAGATGATCCGGCTCTTCTGTCGCACACACAAAAACAAATGCAGGAAAAGAGTACTAGTGTGGCAGCAGCCTCAGCAGCAGTAGGTCTTAAAATTCACGAAAGGAAAAGCACGATTTTCCGATACAACACAACGTGTACCAATTGAGTCACACTTGGCGGAGAAGTCTGGGAGGATTTAATGACCTTTATATGTCTGGATTTCATCATTGATGAACACGCTGGATATGATGCAGGTGTGATGGGAAGGATCGGCAAATCAAGAACAGCATATTTACAACTGAAGAACATCTACAACTGAAAACAAATGTCAACCAACACCAAGGTCAGAACTTTCAATACAAATGTCAAGGTAGTTCTACTGTGTGGGGTGGAAACCCGGAGAACTACGAAAGCCATCATCCAGAAGATACAAGTGTGTATTAACAGTTGTCTACGCAAAATACCTCAGATCCGTTGGCCAGACGCTATCAGCAACAACCTACTGTGAGGGAGAACAAACCAGATTCCAGTGGAGGAAGAACTCAGGAGGAAGCGCTGGAAGTGGATAGGACACACATTGAGGAAAGCACTCAACTGCTTTACAAGGAGAAGTTGAGCAGGGCGTTTCCTCTCGTGACCTGGTGCGGATGCTTGACCGAGCGCCTTTAGCTAGGTGAGTCCATTAAAACTAATCTGGTCAGCATCATATGTCGAAGACTCACAAAGCTATTGATTTCGTGGATTTATTTATCACTACAGATTTCAAAACTTAACGTTCACTCAGAGGCTCCTATCTTAAACACACTGGTATGTGAAAACTATATAATGAACTTACCGGAAGTAAATACGTCAGAAACAATGGCGTGACGCAAATAATTCTTCTGCACATCAGTCATATAATGTCATACCTCCCATATCCATAGTTTTGTAGA